TTGACTTAGAATTTCATCAAATGGATATGAAGACAATCTTCTTAAATGGTAACCTTAAAGAGGAGGTTTATGGTACAACTTGAGGGATTTTAGGAATCAAGAAGTGAAAGCTTGGTGTGAGACTTTGGAAGTCCATTTACGATAGGAAGCAAGCTTCCAAACAATGGTATTTAAAGTTTGATGAGGTAGTTACTTCTATGGGTTTTTAGGAAAACAAGATTAATCAACGTATAAACCTTAAGATCAATGAGAGTAAGTTCATTTTTCTTGTGCTAAATATGGATGATATCTTACTAGCTAGTAACAATGTTAGATTGTGCATGAAACTAAACAGTTACTATCCAAGACTTTCGACATGAAAGATATAGGTTATGCCTTATTTGTACTCGAGATTGAAATACATAGAAATAGATCCCAAAATTTGGTAGGGCTTTCTTAGAAGGCATACATTGATCGTGTGCTTAGCAAATTCAACATACAGAACTGTAAGGTTAAGGATGCATTTGTTGTGAAAGGTGATAGACTTAAGCTTAGTCAATGTTTAAAAAATGATTTGGAAAGAGAATCCATGAAAGACATACCTTATTCTAGTGTAAATGGGAACCTAATGTACACACAAGCCTGCATTATGCCAAACATAGCTTTTGCAATGGGAGTTCTTGTCAAAAATCTTTTTAACCCTAGTTTGGATCATTTTGTTGCTACTAAGAAAGTAATGAGATACTTGCAACAAACTAAGGATTATATGTTGGTGTATAGAAAGGTGGATAATTTTAAGATTGTTGGCTATACCGATTTTGACTTTGTTGCTTGTCAAAAAGACATGAATCCACCTTAGGGCATATTTTTATGTTGGCTGGGGTCGCTATTTCTTGGAAGAGTGTTAAAAAGACACTTTTAGCTTTTTCTACTATGCAAGCTAATTTTGTTGCTTGTTATGGGGTTGTTACACAAGTTATTTGGCTTAATAATCTCATTTAGGCTTTGTGTTGTTATTGCATCTCTAGAACTCTTAAGATTTATTGTGATAATATGTTTGTTATGTTGCTCACTAAGAATAACAAAACCGCTGGTGGGTTTACGCATTTTGAGATAAAGTATCTGAAGTTAGGGATTTGATAAAAATGGTGACATTTTTGTTGAGTATTCTGACATTGATAACATATTGGCTGATCCTTTAACTGAGGGGTTAAGACCTATGGTGTTTAATAAACATGTTAAAAGCATAGGTATCTTAGGGTCCTCTAATGGGTTTGATTAGTGGGAGTATGCTATTTATATTTTTTAAAACTCTGAAATCATGGTTTATAGTTATTTATGTAGAGACCCTTTCTGTGTCTTTAGACATCCATGAGATGTTTGATTTTATATTTATTTATGAAAATCATTGATTAAAAATCCATGTTGTTATTTGATATTATTTGTACATGTACATTTGAATTATTAAATTTTCCATATTGCATATATGTTTTGTGAAATTTTGAGACTGGTGTCTATCTCAAGAGTGATTTTAGTGGTATGTCTCATTAATGACACCAGCAAGGAAACTTGATGATAACTGGGAGACATACAAGCATGTTGTTAAATGCCATATAGATTTCTTATCAAGTTTAGAGAAATCAGCAAGAAGACTGGCAATGAAAATAGCACATTAAGTACTCATTTGGGTGTTATTTTCTTGCTACACAACCACACTGAGATCCATTGCTGATAGGATCCCTGATACATGTAACTATGGATTGGTCGTATGTCAATAAGGGGTATAATGGTTGCCATAATTTAGTATTAGATGTTTCTATTAGATTGGATCATTAAAAGTTATCTCTAAGGACCAATGTTTTTTCTTTAAATTTTGGCCACATCAAAATTAAGTAAATCAGTCTGGAGTTTAGTTTTTTAAGCTGTTTTCTCAAACTCAAAATAAACTCCAATTAATATTGCCCAAGTGGGAGAATGTAAGAAGTTTTTATAATGTGGGCTACTATTAATTGGTAATTTCAATTTAATAAAACAAACTGATAATTTAGTCTTGTTACGAGACAAAGCATGAGAGCCCAATTAATATCATAGTGATCTGTTGATGATGAGCTTTGCACATCTTATTAGGTCAATGTGGTTTAACAGTTGTGTTGGCCATAACCTAGTAAGCCTTTAATAGGGAGGTTTCTGGGGTTTATTATTTATATAATTGGCTAGGTCCACTATTCACTTCTAACGAATGGTCTTTGCTTATTGTGAGGACCCAAAAAAGGAGAAAAACGAAAACAAAGATCTAGCCTTTACCAGTAGTTCTCTAGTATTTTGTAACTAGAAATGACCACCGTAACGAATTAAACAAGTACTCATACATGGATCTAATGGGGAGGCTTCTATGGTTTATTATTTATATAATCGGCTAGGTCCACTTTTTTCTTCTAACGAATGGTCTTTGCCCATCGTGAGTGGCCAAAAAAATGAAGAATGAAAAGGAAAATCTAGCCTTTTCCAATAGTTCTCTGGTATTCTGTAACTAGAAATGGCCACCTTAATGAATTAAATAGGTACTCACACATGGATCTAGGAATTAAAAACTTACATGAACATTCTTTTTCATGCCCTTTTTATTTTGTTTACTTTCCAAGTACCATCTACAATAAGGAGACCAAAGTCAAAAGAGAGATGAAAAAAAATCAAAGATATAGTATTAGTAAATACTAATTATTTATATGAGAACTTAAATGATATCAAAATATATGAAGGAAAATGGAGGTTTTTGGATTCCAAATATTCGAAGTTTGAGCCATGATTGGATGATATCCAAATAAATCATTATGTAATACATATCCATACTAGTGGCACTATTAAAATATTAAACTATTAATTATGTAAGAAAAATTAAAAATATTAGTCAAATTCAAGATAATTAGTAAACATCTTGTATTTTTTTCAATATAAAAAATTGAAATTCAACCAAACTCATACATGATGATATTGAAATCGAGTACAAAAAGTTCTTAAATTCTCTCCTCCTTATTGAGATAAATAAAAGTGGCAATTGACGAGTTCAAAAGGATTCAAGTTAGGCTATATTCAAATTCAAATTATTTTGAATTTTAATTGTCTTGGTTCTAATTATTTTAAATTTGAATCGTTTTGGTTTTAAATTATTTAAAGTTCATACCATTTTGAGTTCAAATTATTTCATATTTGATTAGTCTCAAGTGTAGTTGGATTTGGATTATTTTGAGAATTATATAAGTTATAATTTTTTTTTGTAAATTCGAATGTAGTAAATAATTTTACTCTTTTTTTTGTAATTGATGTCAGGTCAATATCATTAATTACTTAATAAGTTTAAGATAAAAATTAATAAATTAAGAAATATTTGTATAAATATAAATGGAACTATAATTTTATCTATACACTCACTATGGTAGTTTTGTGTACTTTTATTTTTTTATCTTTTTAGTCATTATGAACTTTTTTATAGTATTTCAAATTATCAAGAATTTTTTACTATATTCAATTTTTACTTTGTTTGGACATAAATTATAAACAATAACATTACACATAGTCATATAGACAAACGTTTTATTGAAGTGTTGAATAGTGGACATTATTTAAAAAGAGTACCAATTAATTCTAATTTAATAAGAACAATATTTTAATAGTACAACACTTGCTAGTTCCCCTTGCAACCATTTTAGGATTTTGTAATAGTAATTGATATAATATTGTTCTAGATTTGACCATTTTGGCATTTTGAATTAATGAAGAATAAATTGTCTTGACTTGAAGAATAACTTAATAAATCTAATTGATCAATTAATTTGCATAGCATTAATTAAAGTTTGTAAAAATAGAAATTCAATAATCATGATATATACGATTAATTAACATAATGTTGACTTGTTTAACATTTGACCATTTGGGCAATAATGATTAATTAATCTGTTATTTTTCCTAACAGTGACTCACTAAGTCTAAGTATGTAAGCAATCAATTAATTGGTTTTACCACTAACTTTATGAATTATTATTGATAAATTAGAATCATAATGTTTAAAAGGTAAAACTAATCGACTTAATGTTGATATGATTTTGACTTATGATTATTTTGGCATTAATGATGAAGCATAAAGATTTCTTGGTTGATTAAAATTTTTACACTTAGGTACATGAGTAATAATTTTATTTTATACATAACAACTAGGTATTTGAATTTTTTTTTAGAAAATTAAATAAGTCTAATCACTAAATACAATTAATCTTAATACCTAAGAAATTTAAAAAGTCCTTGTATCTAAAATTAAAAGTAATTGTATTGATATTATTTCTTGTTATTATACTTTTAAATTATATTTTCATTTATACGTAATAGTTAATTGTATTCACAATTTGATTTTAATTGATTAATACATAATAATAAATCAATCAAATATCAAATTAGAACAAGATATTAAATGAATAAAGTTTGGGCTTTTCTCAACATGTTTCCATCTATAAAAATTAAATTTTAAAAAGTAAAAAAAATAAATGTTGGCAAAATATATAAAAAAAGAAAACCTCCTAGATTTGAGTTCGCATTTTTTGGGACAGTCTTTTGAGTTTTAGTTAAAAAAGATAATATTATAATATAATATGCCATCCCGATCAAATAAAAGGAAAAAAAAAAGTCAGGACAAGATTAAGAAAGAAGGAAAAGGAAGTAGAGAGAGAAAAGAGAAAAAAAAGGTGTAGTAAGTGGTAAAATAAACATATAAAAAGGGCGTTTACGCGTAAAGGAAGACGCCGAAAGACGCGGCCTTGACGTTCAAAGCCGAGAAATAAGTAGCTGAGAGCCACAACACTCGTCGCTAGTGGTAGTGGCTACCAGTTCAGAGTCAAAACTCATAAATGTAAGGTATAAACCATGGTTAAATTTTGCTTTAGCTGGGCTCAATCTCCGTACGACAAAGCTGACGCGTGTCTCCTGTCATTACGACGCGGTTTCTTCCCCTCTACACCGCACCGCCCTATTTAAGCTCTCTTGTCTATCTGCTCTTTCTCTCCCATTTCCCCCTCTCTGCTTTTCTTTCGGTTTCTTCTTCTTCTTCTTTTCTTGTGCCTAATCTCTACTCTGTTGGTGGTTTCTGCGCAAAGAAGAAGACTTCGTACCTATACCGAATAGAATGATTCTTTTCTTCTAGAGAGCTTTTCCTTTTGTTTCTTATGTTTTTCTTATTGTTTCGATAGCAAAGATATAGCTTTTTTTCTTTGGTGGAAAACAGAGAGAATAGCAGTACCAGATGGCATCATCGGAAAACCTGGCGAGCATCGAACCGTGGACGTTTCGTCCCCGCTTTGCTGATTCCTGGATCTCCGAAGCCTTTGCTCGCGATACCGAAACTCTGACGAGAGCGCTCGAAAAGTCCATCTCTAATTCCTTCAGCAACTCAGATTCCCTGTCCCCACTGCTGAACCTCATCAACCCTAACACTTCGTCCACGGCCACGGCCACGGCCACGGCCACGCCCAGTGCTTCAAACGTTTCAGGCTCTGACCCTGAAACCGCACCCAAACGTAAGCGGACCACCATCCCCCCTCCCACTGCCACTGGGAAAGTCTCCAAACGCAAGCCCCGCCCCTCTAAGCGCTCTCAGACCACCTTTATAACGGCGGATCCGGCCAATTTCAGGCAGATGGTGCAACAGGTGACCGGAGTCAGGTTTGGTAATGCACAGATGTCTCTGAGTCCGATCCTGAAGCCAGAGCCGCAGAGACCCGGTAGCCGGTTGCCGAATGGGGCGGGGCCTGGATGCTTGCCTACGCTGGACACCTCGGCGTTCTTATTGGATCATCAGCAGCAATCTTCTGGGGCAGTTGTTGGGTCCAGTTTACTTCCGTTTCAGTCTTCTGTAGTGGATGAGGGTGTAGCTTCCGCTGGGGCTACCCTAGATTGTGACACTTTTCCTAGCTTTCCCACTCTAGAATCCTGGAAAGTGTAGTTTTTTGTTATTTATTTCAATTATCAGTTGTATCCCTTTTTTGGCTAGTACGTTTCTAGCGCAGGACATGGGTGGAGCTGTTGGTTACTTGTAATTTTTTTCTCTCACTCTCTCTAATATGGTATAGTTTTCTTTTTTCTTGTCCCCTAATTTTGTCCGCATGGTGTTCTGCATTCAATGGTTTATGAATGATGTGAATGGGCTAATTTACTTTACGAGTAATGATGTTCAAGAAGTTCAAATATCCTTAGGGATGCTAGAAGATACTACTTTTAACAAAGCGGGACAGAGTCCCTGGCTCACTTGTCCATATCGGTGTTTTTCAATTGTAATCCATGGGATTTATCCTTACTCTTCCGCCGAAGCGAAAGAACTCGGTCGTTGTTGAGTTATAAGTGCCAGGTGATTCATTACCTTCTCTTTCTTTCTTCAAATTTTCCTGTCCCGTTTGTTAGTTGAAAAGAAAAAAGGTAGGAAATGTGCAATGGGCACTCCTTTTCCTTGATCCGTGGTCCTCTATTGCCTTATCATTGAGCAACAATTTTATGCTATTAATGCTATATTAACATTAGATTCAACTGAGGGAGGAGGACTAGGACAGTTTTCTGAACAGAAAATGCATTTATCTATTATTTTATTTTTTTAAAAAAGAAAAATACTAGGATGCAATAGTCAATGGGAGTCGGGTTTTATCATTAAAATAGATGAAGCACTTCAATTAGGTATCAAAATCATCTCAAGATTGACGCATTGAAAGACTCCAAAAGTTTCGGTAGTTAGCTGGTCTTTGATTTTTCATACTTGATAGCGAGACTTCTCAGTTCTCAAGGTCTCCTAGGTAATCGGCATTCATCCAAAACTTGCCACATTGCCCATCGGTGGCAATACGTGAATCAAATAAAAATACAGTTTCATAATATTCCACACATAAAATATTGTATTAGAATAACACAAAAGAAGATTGCACGTATAGGGTCCTTAATTATGCAATAATGTAACGGGCTCATATCATTTCTCCAGTTTTGAAAGGCCATAATACCAATCTTTCTCAACTTTTTCTTTTCTCTAGACCCAAAGTTAATTATCTTGTGTGATACTTTTTTTTTGTTATAATTGAAAACTATTCAAATACTTTGAAAATCTCATGGTCAATCGGTTGGCTGTGAAGAGATATATATTATATTTAAGTATTTGCTATTTATTAAAAGTATTCTTTATTTCTAAAAGGATTATAAAAGTCGATAGAAATAAAATTCATAGAATCTCATATACTTTACAAAAAATATTATAAAGAGTTATAATTATGAGAATTTTAAGTGACTTCAGTGACAAAATGGGAGGCTAGCCATGTCCCAAGAGAAGCAAAACGTGTGGCGGATCAGTTGGCAAAGGATGGTGTGGGACTACAACAGGATTCTGTAAACTTCATGAGTCCTTCTTGAGGTAATGGGTGTCTGTCTTAATCTGTTGAGTGTGCAGAAGAGTTGTAAATACTGTGGAAAATTGGCTCGGATGACTTATTGGTGTCTTGGGGGGTTATCTTTCACTTTGGCCCCAATGGTGTACAGATGTTATTCTTTGCCCCTTCTTTATTGTATGTGGGCATGTGTATTTTTTGAGCACACTTTCTTTCTAATACATGTTGAAGGTTGTGCTGGGTAGGGTTCTTTGAATACAGGGACTGAATAGGGTGATTTTGAAATGATATACCAAAGCTGTAATACCCTCGATTTCACTATGAATTATGTATAATATTGCCTAAGCTATTTGATGAGTTAAATTGGAATTTGATGTATGAACATGTGAAATTAAGACATGACTATCTTATGGGAGTATGATTTTGAAATTTGAACTTGTTTGACGGTTTTGAATGGCACTCCATGTGCCTAAGGTTGTAAGTATGTGACAAATGGAACTTGGGTAAAAATATTAAAGTATCACTGATAAATTTATATGTTTGAGTTTGATGGAAGCCTTGGCTATATTACGAATATGTAACTTAAAACTGTGAGTTATATGGTTGATTTGAGGTGTGATTGAAATAAGAAATGATTGGGAAGCTTGAGATTGGAGTTATGGGAGCTGCTAGTGTTAGAAGTTTAAGTTTTGGAGTAAATGTGTCGATAGATTCACTGATCTATCGATACATTCATGGCAGAAAGTCTTGGGGAAATATTTTGTAAAATTTCTATTGATACATTCAACAATGTATCAATAGACTTGAGTCAAGAGACATCTTGTTGAATTTCTACCGATACATTCACCAAATGTATCAATAGATTTGTGAAAGGAGACATTTTGTAAAAAATGTATCGATAGATTTTTCAATTTATCGATAGATTTAAGGCAAAAAACCTTTTGTTGAATTTCCATTGATATATTGAAGCATGTATTGTATGGCTTATGTTTGTAGTGTATGTGCACTTTGTATTAATGATGTGTCTAGGGGAAAATTCTAAGTGTTTGGAACTAAGTTATGAATTGAATTAGTTTTTGATTTGTAAACTATTTCAAAAAATATGTTTCTCTACGGGTGTGTCACATAATTTTAAGGCTTGTTCATGTTTCACGAGTTTCGCCTGCTGGTCTTGTGCTTCGGTCATGGCTCGTGAGCTTGGGTTGTGACAAAAGCTAGGGTATAACATACCAAAATCCCTTTCGTTATTGTTGATACTGGCTGATGTTTGCTATCCCCTGTGATGAATAAATTTTAATTTTTTTTTAAAAAAAATTATGAGAACCTTATTACATAAAAAATTATCTTAAATTATTCCTAGTCAAAGTTTTACCAAGAAAAATGAATATTGATGAACATAGCGACTTGCACATGGTTATGTTTGTTGCTTATGAAGTTGGCAATTGCTCTTATAAATTGAAGTATGTGGATACTTGAACTAACATGTTGGTACTTGTTACAACAACAATTTCACTGAACATGTTTTATTATGAGAATTTCATTTAGTATATCACTCAAGTGTTTATGTAACAAATTCTCATGTGATTGTTGTGTAAATCATCCTTAGACTTGAGATCATTTGGTTATCTTATGCATGGAGTATTATGCTTTGATACTATCTAAGGGGGTCTTAACCAAGGATGTTAAAAAATGGATGGATATTGGATATAGCAAGAAACATATGAAGCTAAATGATCAAAAAAGGATTCATTTCCTTAATTGAATCTAAGGGGAATATCCCATTGTAACTTGAATACTAATAACTCATGGAAGGCCTTGGCCAAGGCAGCTAGAGAAGTCAACAAAAAGTTTATGCACTCTTGAAAGATGAGTTTGATTGCTAAATTGAAATATTTAAATGAAAAAGGAAAATAACAAGAGTAGACACTGCTCCATACTCTAAGTCTTGTCAAGATATTAGATGATGAAGAGATAATAATAATACTACAAGTTTATTCATTGAAATTTGAGCCAAACCACTATAACTCTTATTAATATTTGAATAGTCATGATGCATTGTTAGATGCCAATCTGGACTTATAAATTTGAACTAATCAATTGTGAATTGATGATGAATACAAAGAGTTTGATTCATCTAACCCTAGTTGCACTTGAGTTATAGTTTATGTCTATTGTTAATATGTTAAGAATCTACTAGGTCACACACATTAGGAATGTCAATTAAGAATTTTAAAAAGGGGTTAATTAAGTTGGACTTAATTGAAAGAACTTGAGAACTTTAAGGACTTAATTGTATAGTTCAATTAGTCTTGAGGTAAATATGCAATTAGCATAAAAGTTATGCGTAATCTTCCTAGGACTAGGAGTAATTCAATTAACTATAAATATGAGGCTTATGTTGCAAATATGAGGTATGACTAGCACTAAAAAAACTACTAAAAACCATCCACAAAACCTTGAAAGGATTATGAGAAGATTTGGAAAGAGTTCCAAACCCTAAGAATCAATTTTGCTTTTTCTTAAATCTTTGAGCTGTCGATTCTTCTTTCAAACCAATTTAGCCATAATTTTTTTTCTTGGGTAAGACCCTTGGAATTTCATCCATTGATTGAGGTTTAGGCAATGATTGTATACAACCCTTTGGATTAACCAAAAAGAAAAAAAAAACCTTGTGAGCCGCACCTATCTCAAAGAGTTGGACTCTTTGTCATTGATAGGTGTAGATTAATGTTCTTAGTTATGTTTTGGTTTCTTTTGGTGAAAAGAAAACTTCGATTGCCTTTCCCCTAGCTAGCACTAGACTTTGTAAACATTAGCAACCCCAATCTCTTTGGGAGTTAACTTTAAGTGCCATTTGTGAGGATCATTGAAGGTTGGACATTTGGACAACTTTTGATTTGTTACAACCCATCTTCATAAAGAGAATTGAAATTGTGTTGAATCCTTGTGATTTTGATACTAAGGACATTAGGTATAATGATCTTTATCCTCTAGTTAGGGTATATCTATACTTAATAATCGAAGTGTGATTCTACTTAAGGGAAAACTTTTATAAATGCACTGCTTATTGTAATAAGATTACAAGCCTTTTCCCAAAAATCTTGAACATTATTCAATCAAAATATACACCATTATGTGCTATAGAATCATGCCTCATTAATTAGAGGTTTCAAATGGGTTGTTAAGCATGTGGCATAACTTAATTTAGCATTATGTAGGTTGTGCCTAGCATAGCTTTTTGCTAAAGTTGTAAGCCATGTGTTTGGCATTGTCCATATGCTTCTACAAACTAGGCTAAAGATTTAAAGCCCACTGGGTTGGCACAACATGACCCAAATAAGGCATATACCAATATGTGGCCCATGGGCTAGCGTGACATGGCACATAAGAATAAATGCATCTTGTCACGGTACTCCATAATTTCTATACCGGGCTTTGATTACTAGCCCTTGAATTGTATTACATGTTATTTTATTATATGATGAAAACTACCTTACTTTTAGTACTTTTTGTTAGCAATTTATGAAAATGGAAGTGTTACATATGAATATGTTGGGAAATTATGCAATCACAATGACTTAAATGCAGTAGAAATTCTAAAGTTTTTCTATGAGCAAGATTAACCTAGGATTTGTTTAACATAGATAATGTTAGCTACAAGGGGAAGATAAGTATACCTTCAAACCCTATGAGTTGAAATCAACAAGGTTCCTAACCTTGAATGCTA